TCTTAGTACTGCTTTCCACCCCCAAACCGATGGACAATCAGAGAGGACAATTCGTACGCTGGAGGATATGCTCCGAGCTTGTGTCCTTGACTCCGGGGGCCATTGGGACGACCACCTACCCCTGATAAAGTTTGCTTACAACAACAGTTACCAAGCAAGCATCGGCATGGCCCCATACGAGGCGCTATACGGGCGTCCGTGCAAGTCACCGATCTGTTGGGAAGAAGTGGGCGATAGAAGATTGTTTGGCCCGGATTTGGTAGAAGAAACCACGTCCAAGATAGTTAAGATCAAGAAGAACATCCAGACAGCTCAGAGTAGGCAAAAGAGTTATGCTGATACCCGGATGAGAGACCTGGCCTTTGAGAAAGGCGACCGGGTGTTTCTTAAAGTCACCCCCTTCAAGGGGATTAGTAGGTTCGGCAGGAGGGGAAAATTAAACCCTAGATATATTGGACCCTTTGAAATCTTAGACAAGATTGGTACCACGGCCTACAGACTTGCACTGCCTCCTGAGCTCTCCCGGGTTCATAATGTGTTTCACGTATCTATGCTACGTAAGTACAATCCGGACCCTTCTCATGTCTTGGCTCATGAACCGCTTCCACTCCGAGAGGACTTGTCTTATGAAGAAGTACCGGTCGGTATCACAGACCGAGAGAGCAGAATACTCCGCAACCGGGAAATATCATTTGTAAAAGTCGTGTGGCAGAACCACACACCCAGGGAGGCCACCTGGGAACTCGAATCAGAATTTAGGGCCCAATATCCCCATCTGTTTGATCAAGAGTAATGAGGCAAATTTGGGGACCAAATTTCTTTAAGGGGGGGAGAGTTGTAGCGCCCGGAAAGGGGCCGAAAAAAAAAAAAAAAAAAAAAAGCCACGTCAGCAGACCCGGTCACCAGTCCCGGCCAACCGGGACCTGCCACGTGGCTAGACCACGTCGTTCCGAAACGGGCCACGTTAGCGATCCGTGTAGGCGCGATCGGACGGTCCAGATTAAAACAAAATGGACAGCTGAGATCAAAAGGCAAAGGGTTATAAATAGAACCCCCACACCAGACCACAAACCCTAGCCGCCTGCCGCTCGCCGGAGAAGACGAACCAGAAGCCGGACGCCGCCACCCGCCGCCGCACCGGGGAAATTTCCGACCGCTGATCGAGGTAAATTTCGTACTCCCGACTCGTTTTTCCACGCTGATTCCTCCTGTGGCCAAATCGGAGCCAAAATCCCGGCCAAACGGGCGGAATACACGGCCGAAGCCCAGCGGCGCCGCCGCGCCCCTTCTCGGTTTTTGCCTCCGATGAGGCCCTTCCCAGCCTCCGTTTGATGCAATTTTATATCACCGTGATCACCATTCTTTTCTCTACAGGTGACCGGGAGCCGAATCACCAAAACACAAACCTCGCCGAGAGCGCCGCCGCCGGTAAGCTCCATTTTTTCGTATTTTTTGGCCCCCCGAGGGCCCTAGGATTGTTTTCTCGTAGGGACCGATGCGAGTGTGGCCGAATTCGGCCAGAAACGGCCGAAAACATCCAACCCGAGGCGAATCGCCGCCGCCAGCGGCGGTGCCGTCGCCGGAGCACGGCGAAGCCGCCGTGCCGGAGTTGCGATATTGGCTGAAAGGGGCCCTGGGCCTAATTTGGGATTTTTTTGGAACACGTGTAGGTACCAGTAGTGCGTTTCAGTTCCCCGAGAAAAATTCAGGGAAAATTAGGGACAGCCTGTAGGCGCACTGTGAAGCCGTGTTCGGACCCCGAAACGTGTAAGGACCCCTCACCTTATTTCCTATCACGGTTTTAAAGTTCAATAAATGATAAAACGGTATTTCATGAATCAACGAATGTGTGAAATTGCTTAAGGTCGCTAATGGAGCTCAAGTCTAGTGTATTTGTCGGTTAACTGTTATTTGGCCTGTTTTACAGTTTTAAATGCAGCACGAGGTTCGATGTTTTCATTTTATAGTTTCGTGTGCATATTTTACTGTTTTATTGATTATGGATTAAATGACCGGGATATTGATGCTTTATGTTGCCTGTTTAGCATAAATTACTGTTTGCTTGCTTGTATGTGGATTAATGATGCTGACTGAGGAAAAAGAGAATGAAAAATTATGTAAATGGGTAATGGTATAATGTGGTCAGCCTGACTAGATATCCTGAGAGATGGTGGACGGACCGGGTCCGTAGGGAACCCTACCGGGATTGTGGTCTCCCATACCGGACGGGGTATGGAAATCTTATGTGTTTTGGCACCCATACCGGACGGGGTATGGGGACGGCCCGTTTCACCCTCATACCGGACGGGGTAATGAGGTCTATGTTTTGGCGCCCATACCGGACGGGGTATGGGGACGGCCCGTTTCACCCTCATACCGAACGGGGTAATGAGGTCTATGGTTTGGCGCCCATACCGGACGAGGTATGGGGACAACCCTGGAATGGATTTCAGGTGTTAAGGATTAACGGGTAGCGGGACCCCTATGGATCCCCATGGATACTAGTGGGCTGGTGAATCAGGAAAATATGTTGTGTAACGATTGAATTACGAAAAGTTTGATAGGTATTATGTTATACAGTTCATATATATGTTTTCATGATGATGATGATGTTATTGTTTTCGTATATTGTTTTATGAATTTCACCGAGGTAAGTGAATGGTAAAAGTTTTATTATTAATAAAAGGATTTGTTGTAAATTATGCTCCATTGGTCTTTTTGTGTTTTCTACCCACATTTACCTCCGTGACGGTGAGATATCGTGATGTCTTTACTGGGCTAGTGTAGCTCATTCCTTATTTAATCATTTCAGATCAAGAGGACATCGTTCCCGAGCCGGTTCCGCAGGAGGACGACGAATGGGACGCCTAAAGACTCCCTAGTCACATTCATAGTTTTTTACTTTCAAGTTTCTCCTTTAGTTAGTTTAATTTTTTATATTTTGTGAGCACGTTTTTAGTTTTAGTGTAAGGGATGTTATTCAAATTTTGACTTCGCTTCCGCATTTGATATTTATAATATAATTTCCATTTTAAATTTCCGGAACTGCTACAGGTACTCAAACCAAAAAAGTATGATACTAAACCTCTTCATGCATTCTCAAACAAACAAGATTTAAAATCCTTCCACACATCATGTTCTCGTCAAATTCAAGCAAAGTAATTTTTGTTTTAAGAAATTACGTAAGAGATGAGTTTGCTTGTGGCCTATTCTCTCCTTGTCTTTCTGCTTTACTGCATTTATTTTTTGTTTTTCTTCCGTCTTTGTGCATCCTCTTCCTCTCGCTCTCTTTCCCCTTTTGCTTCCAGGCTCTTCTCCCCAGGTTATCTCATATTACTTTTTTTTAAAAAAATAAAAAATAAAATACAAATTCAAGAACACAATTCTAATAAATAAAATTGTAACGTATTCTATAATTCAAAAACTGAACTGAGAATTTGACATTATTATTAAAATAAAATACGCATATACAGAAACCAAGATTTTGAAAAGAATAATAAGTTTATTAGCGGCCCCCTTTTGGAATAAATGTAGTAATCAGCAACATGCATCGAAACCAACATCTTTTTTAATCATATTTTTAATTTTTAAAATTAACTAAAATTTATATTAACCATATCCATATTGTTTTCGAATATGATACTGATCTTTACTTACAATAATCAGATGTAAATTGTTTCTTCTGAGTTGACTTCAAACATTGTTAACCGCAGCATAATAGATCTGCGACATTACAGTGAACAAAAACGTTCCTACCATTAACACGTCTTCTCATCTCATTGATTAACAAACGGAACTCAGTGAGCAAAATTTTCACACAAAAAAATATGTATATATCATCTGTTAGAAGAGAATTCATCCCCGTAGACTTGCATTGGGCGTGGCATCCACAATAGCCTCAATTTCATTCTTACCTTTCAACACAGACCGCCTCCTATTCTCAGAATCAAGTTTCTCCAGATCCTCGGCAATTCCCAAATATCCATAGAGAACGTTGCTGATCATATCAGTGATTGGTTCTCGCACTTTGTTTCCATCAGTACAGCCACTGCCGCTAAGTTTCTGGAAGTCAGCTCTTCCATGCTCGGTTGCAGCATAGAACTTATGAAGCCTCTCTGCTTCTTGCAACCCAGAAAGGGTTCCTTGGAAGCTAACCACCATGACACTCTGATTTGCAGGTCTTCCATGGTACAACTTGGTAATCCGGGCAATTCCCATGCCTGCAATTACAAGTGGAAAGAGGGAAAAATATGGAAAGGAAAAGAAATTGATAAAAGACAGTAATAAATCAATGATGGAATCTCCCAACTATTTTGAGTGCCTAAAGAAAGTATAGGAATCTAGTACTTATCTTCCTTCAAGTTCACATACCAGTGGAAAAAAAGATAACTACCAGACTTCCATACCATTTATTTTCTTGTTGGCCATTGATAATTAAGAAAAATCATAATCTAATGTGAGAAGGTGAAAGCCCGTTTAATAATGAAAAAGTAAGCATTCACGGAAATAAATTTCATAGCAGCAGAGTGATCATTTGTGTAGTGGTCGACATACCTCTGACAATTTCCCCAAGCTCCTCTATACTCACAACTCTCCGTTTTTCAGAACAATTATTTGCTATGGAACTGTTATTGAAGACAACAACAGGAGGCCAGATAAGAAGGTCCTCTTTTAAAGACATGAGTTCAGCATCAGGCAACATCCGCATAACCCATGTACTGTTAGGGGCTACTTCATATTTCCATCCGATCAACACACAAAGTGCTCCGTGCAAACCTAAGTGATCTGCTCTCATTCCAACCATGTGTGAGTTAAAGGCATGTGTGGCCAAGCGTACTGATCCTTCAAATTTTCTGATATAGCAAAAAGGGGGATAAAATCATTAGAAATTACATTGGAACTAAATGCAAAAGCGAAGGATTCCCTAGAGAAGCACTAGGCTGTTAAAATTATAGGAGAATGCGAGGAAAACAGAAACACAAGATTGTTGAATAAGAAGATTCAGTGAAGTACTTATAAATCTTTTCCTCCTTTATCAATTATTCTCTCCCCAGACAACAAGCAATTATGCTCCCGTTAGAATGGAGAGATATCAAGAATTCAGCGAAGAAAAAGACTATCTCCATGAAAGACTCCTTTCAGAAAATGATATATAGGAAGTCAAGAACCATTAAACTACTCAAAATGTGTGGATACAACAGTTACAGCAAAGCAACCACATATCGAGAGAGAGAGAGAGGAGAGATTCCAGCTTCTTAGCAAGAATAAGACAAAGAAAGAAATATCCTAAGATTCATTTTTTCCTCTATATATATAGACATAACTTAGAGACATTTCTTCCTTAATATATCTTATCACGCAATCAACAACTCCTATCCACTTCTCTGACCATCTTATTGCAACCACCAGGACCCATTCAATTCTAAGAACTAATTCCACTATCCTCCTTACTTGGAGGCACAACAATCCATGCCTCTACTACTACTTTTTTCCGGTCCATCATGCATCCTAGCAATTCTTTTTTACCAGTTCTGTAACTTCAACGTCTCCATCCCTCCATACTTGTACACAAAAAGCTTACAAAAATTTCTTTATCGAGTTAGGTATTCAAAGAAAAAACAAAAAGATCCTAACACAACACTATTTCTGGTACTTCTTTGAGGCACCAAAAAAAATCCCCACTTTGAGGCACCAAAAAAAAATCCCCACCTTGAGGCACAACACACTCCCCTTTGCATGCCTCCAAACTCAAATGTCTCCCTCTCCCCATACTTCAGACAGCTTCCAAGAATTATTTTTAAGTTGGAAATAAAAGAAAAGGAAAAGTTCCCAACACACTCCCCTTTGCAGCAGCTAAATCTGATAAGGTTGTAAAACTGCACTTAGACAAGCAACTAGTAGCAGCAATATGATATGTTTCAATTACATTTCCCAAGAAAAATTACCTAATGTATTCAGTTATTGCATAACACAGCTCATTAACCAAACATGTCTCCAGTAATTTAGAATAATCAAATTCTTTTCACACACACATAAAAAGAAATAGAAGAATCAAATAATATGGTATAACCTACAAATCTTGAAATGCATATATGTTGAAAACTGAATCCCATGATAACTAGATTTTCTAACATAGTTTTAAGATATTCTTCTACAATATTCTTTTTCATCATCATTCTTATTTCACCAAAAAAGAAAAAAACGAAAAAAAAAACATTAATTAATCTTCAAACAAACAATAATATAGAAGACACACCTGCCACAAACGCAGCACTTGACAATACCATATTGCCGTGCATCATGTACTTCCTCTGCTGAGCTGGTTTCTCATTCAAAGATTTATAGTGCTTCAAAAATGCATTATGAACTCTCTGCTTGAACTCCTCAGAATCTTCAGGTGGTTCCTTCTCCTCCTGTTTCACCTTACTTTTCAAGGAATCACTCCTTCCAACAGGGCGATGTCCAAGAAGATTTCCAAAATTTTCTCTCGAGGAATCTTTCATTATATGATATCTAAGCCAAGGACTAACAAGATTTACTTTCCGAGGAGCCCCCAATCTTTTCATTATATCTCTACTTGAAGGTTTGATGGGCTTGCCCAAACGCTCTTTCACAGACACACGAGAAGATGGAAAATTGAGGTTAAAGTCAACTCCACCACTTGGTGAATATTCAAGTTCTGAAGACTTTGGTGTTGATAATTGTCTGATATCATGATTAATCCACTGCTGGTCTACGCAATTCAGACCAAGGACCTCATTGGAACCATCCCGATCTTGGGAGACCCTAGGTGTCCAATCTGGGTATAACCAATGATGCGATCTTCATGCATCTTTGTCTCAGATTGATCGTCAATGGTTAATTCTTCATCAGTCAACATTTGCTGGGACCAAAATTTAATATCATAGGTACCTTCTTCGTTCTCCGACGGTGAGCGACTTGTCAAACCATCTTGAGATATAACAGGATGGCCATCCCCTTTGAAACCGTAATCAGCTTGCCGTCTCATGTTCTCATTTCCCAGGTAAAGTTCTTTCGTTGCAAGAATGCTAGTCGTTTCAAAAGGAAGTTCGACACCATAATCTTCTCCCAACTGCAGGGTTTCATTCAGATAGGATTTGCTTCTGTTGCATAGATGAGCGAGTCTAAACTCATCTTGCCGTAACATGCGTGATGCTCCAGTGAGATCAAGGGATTGTCCACGGCAATAACTGTACTGGTCCCACGCCATCCTGCTATCTCTTACACCATGATGAAGAGAAGAATCAGCTCCCTCGATTCTATCCACAACTGAGTCTACAGTGCTGGGCCTCGGTCGAGCAACTACCATGTTGCTATGAGGAAATTCACTAGACAATGCATCCACCTCACTCCTTAACGCTTTATTGCACTTACAGTTTCCAGTCAAAACCCCAGTGATAAGATTCCGGTGCATAACCGGTTCTTTCAAGGGCGATTTGGGGTCACGGATGGAAGAAGAGTCGAAACTCATTTTTTGGCCATACCCATCAAAGTAACCTACAGTTCCACTTGGTATTTCTCTTCTATTCTGTTCGTGTCTATTAGATGGATCAAAGGTACCTTCCTTACACATCCCACCAAAATATCCATTCAAACCAAGATTACTCTGTAAGTTGTTCGAGAAAGGCTTATCTCTCTCTTCACATAATCCACTTTCCAGTTTCTCCTTCGATTTTGAATAATTATGTTCTTCGGTGGATGTAGGGTAAGCAATGGTGGGTCCTCTCTCGCTTCTAGTGCTGATTCTCATAGCGTCACTAAAGCCATGACGCAAATCCAAATTGGCGTTAGCGTTAACCGCTTTACCAGCCAGCAAAATGTCCCATTGGAACTTCATGCACATTGATTCTCCACGCGACAGCGTCTCGTTGAACTGCGATAGGTTACGCATGTATAAGTCTCTATACTCATCTTCTTTGTAGCCATCTACCATACCTTGTTCATCAGCTCCGGGTATGACCAAGTTGGGGAAACGGCATGCTGAATTTTTCTCGGCCCTCGACGATGATGGCTTATGTAGACAAGCGTCTCTGTCGCATGCGTATGCTTCATGCCCCGGAAAACAAACCGGTCTAGTCAGTTTCGGCTCAGACCGCAACAGTTTTAGCTTTTGTGAGTCTCGGTCTACAGCAAGCAACCCGGTCTTCTTCCCGGGTGAAACAT